TTATCTTTCCTCCCCATTTGGATCTTCCTCTCGCCAGTTGAACATGTCCCGGTCTGAACATACTTTCCTCTTCTGAAAAATGAAAACAGAGAGCGAAGCAGGAACCGGACAAAAAAGTAAAAAAAAAAAAAAAAAAAGTCGATACAATGTCGTTGTACATTACGAAATGTATTTTTTATAAACTTTTTGTTTTCCTTTGTTACTTTCATTTCTGTCTGGACACTGCTATTGTATTTAATGAGGGGGGTGACTCCTTCAAGACTTTGATGCTACATGAGTAGCTGTAGCTAGTTAAGGTTTTAAAGGGCTTTTGCTTGGATCTGTGAGGTGGAGTGAGACAGTAGGGTGTTGAGGTCAACAGTGGACATTAAGGGTGAATTGATTCTGAACCTCTTCTGGGATTCCTGGTCTTGGGCTTCAGCTTGCCGTGGATTCGTTCAGAGCCGAAATGGAAGGAGAGAGACCTGCTCACTGCTGTAGAGACTCAGGACGGCTCTGTGTCCTTGCAGTGAAACTGAGGCCCCTGGGGGCAACAGCGCATTGGTCGTCCGGCAGCCATGATAGCTGAAAGGCCATATTCTGCATATTTAATTAGAAACCGGGAGATTTGTAGCACAGCACCTACTAACGAAAGATAACCCAAAATAAACAATTCAAAAGTCCTCGACATTTCCACGAGTTCGTTTGCAGACTGTGAGCTGTTGACACGAGATGCGACATCTTTGTGTTTGAACGTGCATCGTTCTCAGCCACGGGGAACCATTCACTGCATGCTGCCAAGCCCCCCCGTCCCTGCTTGCTCAGCTGCCATGGAGACAGACTTGACCACTGTCTGATTTACATGCCTCCTTAGCAGGAGCTGCCGGATAGCTGTGTGTCGCCTGGACCCACGACCCTGGGGATTACACCTTCCTCAGTGACAGTGGGCGACTCCCGCTTTTGGGTAAATGCTGCTTCCCTTCCAAATCAAACCAGACCTGAGGCACTTGAACAAATGGGGGGGGGGGGGGGGGGGGGGGGGGGGGGGGGGGGCGGGTTGTGCTGAAAAACACAAATAACAAAGGTGAGCATCACGGAAAGGTGTGGACTAGAGATTCAGTCATCATTTCATCATTCCTCTATTATTTCACTCCGCTGTTCCCCCGAGCTGCCGTGAGTGGGGATTTCCTGTCGTCGTTTCTGCCATCTGTGACACAGGGAGACGGGAAGGCCTCTTCAGCTCTCCCTCCCTCCCTCCCCCTCTCCCCCTCTCTGTCACTGCAGCCCCTGACAAAAACACGGCAACACACTTTGCTCCCAGGATAATGAGAACCAGACATGGCCTATACAGCGAAAGAAGGAGAAGGCGAGGAGAGACAGAGGAGGAAGCGAGACAGAAACTGATGCCATGCCCGGCATGAAACAGCGAAGATTAATAATGAGTTCATTTAGGTATGTAGAGGAGCAGAACAGACACAGAGACAGCAGAGAAACACAAACACGCACTTTGAGATACATTGTGCCACTGGCTAAGAGTGAGAGGCAGTTACTGTTCCCTTTTTATGTAAAAAAACAAACATATGTTACATAAACTTTTCATTCTTTAGATATTATTCAGGCACTTTCCCCCACATGTTGTACAAGGAACTAGCCAGGTTAAGATTCGGGATCTGCACATTTCTGCAACAGCAAAGGTCACGCGCTCCTCTAACATCTGGTAAAAAGCAGCCGTTTTGAGCGGTAGGTGAAGACAGAGAAACAAACAAGGTGCAGCAAAATCCATCTTGGTAAACATCGGGAGACATATGCTCCGAGATCCCCACTCCTCTGCCCTCTGATTTTAGAGGGACTCGGAGTGGGAAGGCGGTTAGCAGATGCTAGAATCCAGCTACCCAGAACATCAAAGGCCCCCCCCTCAACGTGCAAGTCCTCATTAGTTCTGCAAGTGTAGCTGAAGAGACTCGTGTTGGTATATTTGGAGGGCCATGCGTTGGCAAACACTTCAGAGGAAAGGTTTCTTTCAATTACACCGCCCCCCTCCAATGCGTCTACTACCACTGCAGCTCACTGTAATCCCCCCCATAACCCCCACTAACTACCAATACACACACACTGCACAGCCCCCTACTCGCCACATCACCCCATAATCTGGCCTGCAGCTGCACACATGAAGGCTGTTTCATGCAACTTCTTCCTCAGCCTCTGGCCGAAGCGAGCGTCGGTTGCAGCTCCAGTGGTGAACAGCAATGCGCGTGCACTGCCAGTGAAGGACACTGGAGTCTCAACATTTCATTATGTCTGTTAACTTGTTGTTTAAACACTTAACGTATCAACAAATATGAACTAGCCAGTACCCAAGGGCTCTGATGCTGCCCTGTGTTAACACAGATTTTTCAGCAGAGAACCAATGCAAGTGTCTGAGTTATTTGCCAGGGCTGGTTTTGGGCCTCGCATAAGCTTTCATTAACTATGAGTAATTTGTTGCACAAAATTAGTCATTTTACAAAATACTTTAGCTCATGTTCTGATTATCATTTGTGAGGCAGAACTTAATAGTCAATGGTTATGACCAAGGAACCGTGGATTAAATAATCACCACTTTATTTAATGTAGAAGAAAAGTCAAAGTATTTATAATCTTTAGAATATTTTGATTTTTTTGTTAGTTTTTACTGTTACATTAAGATTATGTTAAAAACAATTTAATTTAGCAGGACAAGAGTTTTCGTTTTATTTTTATCACTGCATAAATCGACAGCTGAATCAAGACTAATTATTGAATAACCTGGCTGGAGCAAAAAATACAGTGTTTCACGAATACTGCAATGTGAAACACGACTTTTGCAAAGGTGGTCATACATAAGTACAACTAATTAGACAACCTCCCGTTTGCTTAGTTTTTACTGATTAGAGGAAACTAAATAAATTACAAAGATCTATTAAAGTCTTGTTCTATAAATTGTTTGCACTTTGTGTAGCTGTCAGGCTGGGTGATCGAGCGAGCCGGGAAGCAAGCGAGGCA